CCTGGAGCCGGGGCCGGCTGCACCGCGCTGCCGACGGTGCCTTCCCTCCCGTCCCGGCGGGCTGCTGCGGGCTGTGCGTGCAGCCAACGGAAGGGATTTCCTCGGAGTTGAGCAGGGGAATATTTAAACGCAAATTCCATTGCCCTTCAGGGTCTCTTGTAGCCAGCGTTAATATTATGCAAAGATATCAGGAGGACTCTAGTGAAATTATCAGCCCGTATGTGACATTGAAATAATTTCCATGGCCACAGATTGATGCCGGCCCTATGACTTCAACACCAGGTCAAGCAGAGGATCGTCATTTTGTCAGGATACCACTTCTCTCCTCCTTTTTTACATAAGTATTTTCCAAGTGCATTTCCTACAACAAAAGAAAAATATAATTTTTGCACACCAAAAGAAAAATATAGTTTTTTCACACCCTGATATTTAACAAGAATACTTTATCAAACTGTTTGCTGTTCTTATAGCTCACTACATGCACAGACTGATTTTCTGTCTGAAACAAATTATGATAGTACTGTAGGAAGATTAAGCTTAATTTTTTGCAATCTATTATTTTGTAGCAATTCCAAATTTAAAAAAAAAAAAAAATTTGTGTGCCGTCCCTTATGCTTACTTTCATTTTCCATGTGAAGCTCACAGGACTGCTGAATAACTGACATATGATAAAATATTTTGATTAATGCCGTAGAAAGTGAATGTATATATTTTTGTACTTAATTCATGAACTGTTAGGCAAAATGTTTTTGCCACTACTTTTGGCTCAGATAAACTATTATAAGCCAGAACACTTGACAAATTTGAGACCCTTCGTAAAGGAAGGCTAAAGAGATAGATTTGCTATGAATAACATGAATATTCAAGAGAGAAATATTATTGAAGAGCGCTTTTTTTTCCTAAGTTTTCAAATTGTTTATATAGAACATTTTCTGGTTTCATGCATAAGTTACCAGTTTATTTCCAATTCCATCAGCATTAGGAGATGCAGAGAAATCAGACTTTTCAAATTAGGCTTTTTACATGATCAAGTGAGAAAGACTGAGGCTTTATTGACCATGAAAATTCCCTATATTTTTATGCCTTAAGCTGTAATATGCAATGAAAGTGAAACACTCTACAGTGCATAAAATTGTGCAAGTTTTAAGCCACAGCATATTAACCAGCTAATGGCAGACCAAAGGGCATTTTTATCTTTTTGATTCTTGCATTAACCTTCCATTAAAATTATCTATGTGATTATCACAAAGCACTAGAGATAATAAATTTAGGGAATAGCAGGCTTGTTAAATATCATTTAAAAATGCTTTCATCAAGTAAAATGTGCCAAAACACAGGGAAACTATGAGATGAGCTGAGTATGCAAACATCATAATGAAAGAATTATTTTTATTAAAGCTGATAAAATCCTTTATCGCAGCGCGCCGGCGGGTGGTGCCTGCCGCCGCGGGATGCCCGGCTCCGGGGGCTCGAGGTGCCCCCGCGCTCCTGCCTGCCCGCCCTTCTGCCCCGCGCCCGGGGGGCTGCTCGTGCCGAGGCCCTGGCCTGTGCCCTCCTGGGGGTTCCCCCGAAGCACCTGCGAAACGAAATACCGTCTCCTGTTTTGCAGGTGAACTACATTCTAGAGTCGCGAGCAAGTACAGCCAGAGCAGAGTATTTTGCTCAGAAACAAAGAAAACTGAGCAGGAGAACAAGCTTTAGCTTCCAGAAGGAGAAGAAATCGGGCCAGCAGTGACGCCTAGCCTGGAGGAAACCTGTCTGCCTCCCTCGGAGGAGGAGAAGCTCCCGACAGCCGGAGACAGGTGGGAGCGAGAACTGCAGCGCTCCTGTTGCCAACAGGCAGGAGCAGCCAGGGAAGAAAATCCGTGTTATCCAGTCTCTCACGGTTGGTAGATTATCCCTCTTTGGTGATGGGAAGTCTCCCCTGTGACAAAAATAAAGAGCCATATCAGCCGGAAAGACGACTGTTACGCTTCAGGTTCCTTTGATTAGAAATAAGAGAATGACGTAGACGGGCATCATTTAATTACTATATTATGTACAATCACAAGAAGAGATGTGATTACATATTATTTCACAGCCTGGTTAGAATAAATTATATACATCTGTAATACACCCACATACACACAGGTATTGCTTGTGACATGATCAAATTTCTAAAAACAAAATGTAGGACAAATGTATCCATTTTTACTATTAATAAACAGATGTACTCTTTCTCGCGGTCCATATGATGCACAGTTCTTTTGGGGGGAGGTTGCAGTCCCAGATGGCTCCTCTTCTGTTGCTGAAGTGCAGGAGGCAGCCGCGAGCCAGGAGACGCAGTAGCCGTTGCAGAGGAACTCATTTGTGAAGAAATGTTCAGACAGTCAAGTCTTTTTTTGTTTTGCTTTTTTCATACTTTTACTTCACTGTACTTTTACTTAACTCCTACTTGCCTCCGGGCAGCACAGTATTTTGAAAACCAAGGCAGCGTTTCTGCAATTAAAATGGGTGCATCTTCCTGAACGTAGGACCTGCAGAGGTTTTCAAAGCGTGAACTGGTGGGAACGTGTCGCTCCTGAGCTAGGTGTCTAGTCTTTCTCTTTGTGACAACTTTCACCAGAGGACACAGAAATACCTTCACCTTTTTTTTTAGTATTAGATGAGTCTTTAAAAATGAAAATGAAAATCTACTTTGTACTGGGATTTATAGCTCTTCTGGCCTTGTTCATCTTGAATGCGTCGGGGACCGTGCGAGTGGGAGCGCGGGGAACCAGAGCTGCGCTTCCGTTTCCGTTCACCAGAGGTGTCTTTTATCAGTCCCTGGGTCGTTGGAGCTGGAGCTCTCTGAGCTGTTGCAGTGGATTTCATATCACGAAAATGCCTCTGGTACCAAGAGGCCGTTTAAAAGACCACTGACCCCCCCACGGAAATCCACAGCACTCCTCTGATTTCTGCAGGTCAGACCGAATAGCTCCTCTGCCACCCGGCTGCCTCGCAGAGACGGACCTGCAGGCAACCTGACCTGCTACAGTTTCGTACTTTGCTTCTCCATAAAAAAACTCTTTCTGAGCCTTAACATATAGTCTAGGAATAAACACTAAGGCCGAGAGCTCTATTTGTCAGGTATATGCTACATTTAAGGTCTCAATTTTTAAGCTTTTAGCTTGTTCCATTGGAAGAGAGTGAGCGAAGCCTTCCCGGAGATGCTGCCAGGGGGTGCTCTGTCCTCGCGACAGACCGAGAAGGCCTTTCTTTACTGTACAGTCTTCCATGATTATTACTCAGCAAAGGATAAACAAGAGAAACAGTATTTTATAGTATGATATTACATTTTAAAACATTTTATATGTGCAAGTGCAGCATAGATGCAATGGAGAAAGAACCTTCGAATAATGCAATGTAAATGACTCCTTTAGTCAAGTTTGTGAACTATTTAACATTAAAGTTGTTACGTGAATGTTCTTTTGGCCACCTAGTTTCAATTATTTTTAACTGAACTAAAAAACTGCCTACTTTCATGCAAGAAACTACGTAAAACTTCCGCTTGTTTTCATGACTGTAATGCTGTTGCCACAAACTTAAGTATTATACGTAGGTATTCAGTATGTGCACTTTTTGCTTTCAGTAACGCCTTAAGATTGCCGTAATGAAAAAACCTCCGCTGTCTGAACTGCGATGAAGTTTGTTTTGGGCGTGCAGTCGCTTGCCTGGGGCAAGCGTTCAGCTGCTCGTCCTGCCCTTCGGCTGCCCGGGTGAAGCTCTGCCCTAGCTGCCGCGGCAGTTTTCTACTCTTGCCTCCTTTCCCGAGTAGCGGCCGTTGGCTGTTCTGCGGCACCACCGATGGGAGCGACAGACGCCGTGTTTCTAGCAGCCCGTGGCGTCGGGCGAAGCTGGGTACCTATCGCACC